AAATATCTGCACCGTGTCAACACAGTCGGCGTGGGATATTTCAGGGCCCCAACATTTTAAGAGGGAGATTTATGCGTGTGGTCAATTTCCGCGCAGGTGCAGCGGGGAATGTCGAGGCATTACAAGAAAAAATATTCCACCCGTGAAGATTAATTTGTTGGAGAAAAAAAACGTACCCAAAACCCCATTCAATTCGAAATGAATATTCTTTAAAAAATAATAATTACCTTGGGAGGAAAAGCATGTTTAAGGGGTGATATTTATTTTTGGAGACCCAAAGCTTATGTATAAATCTAGAATAAACATACCCAAAGCTGAATAGACTATAATTACTGTAAGGGGGCGGCGAACGTGACGCTGCCGTATTTTCGTGCTTTTATGTAAAAATTATACAGATGTAGTGAGTTCAACTGAGTCGCAGACGTAGACTTGGAGGCAACACATTTATTTAAATTTCGATTTAAAGCTTTCGTGACTGCAGGGATTCATCTTCTTGGTTCTTTCGGTAAAGTCACGTAGAAGGGAAATAATATAATAATAATAATAAAAACATAATAAAATACAATTCTCACGACGTTTCGGCCACAACACAAGCAGCCGTCCTCAGGTGAAGAACAGGTCTGTCGGAAAGACAGCGTCTGAATGACGCTGTCTTTCCGACAGACCTGTTCTTCACATTTATTTATCTCCAACACACGGGGTAACTTCCCCTTAACAGTATAACAACCTATGGTGGTGACCACCAGGCTAACTACACTAATTGCAATGTAGCTGGTGTAGTTAGCCGGGTGGTGACCACCAGGCTAACTACACTAATTACAAAGTGACTAGCTACTACGGACCGGACCACAGCTCGGTTCCAGGTCCACGTGTTGGAGACTTGTAGAACGTAGGACGTAGACGAAGGTTTCTTGAGGATGAACAACAACAACGCCGGTCCCTCTGGGGGACCCGGCTTATGTTCTCTGGCTGACTCCGCCCTTGGCCACGACCACCTTCCAGAATCCTCGGGAAGGATTTGGATGCTAACCACGTGACCGCCCCGAGCCCCCACTTGGGCCCCTTTGTAGACTTAACCGGTCACGTGTCCTCTCGGGTCAACCAGAGTGCCATGGCCTTTTGTAACCCCATTCCTACGGCGGGCACTCCCACACCTTGACCTGTAGGGGTTGGCACTGCACGCCAAGCGTGGTGCCATCCAGCGCTATCAACCAGCGCTCACCGGGCCCCTCTAGGGTCGGTACTGCACCCACACCACGTGGTGTCCGCGGTGTCGTGACACCGCACTTCGTGCCTCTCTTGGGCCGGCACTGCACAGTGACATCCAGCGATGTCACTACTCGTAGAAATAATGATCAGGAGCAGGATATTGCAGCTTTCGTTCGGCTTTGGCATCACTCACTCAGCAAAATAATTTGTTTTCACATTCAAACATTGGCTTTCACGACAGATACTATGATGCAACAATTGGTCTCCTTTGGGCTCGATCACCGTGTAAGGTGCAATGCGGCGACGTTGTAGCACAATTGTCAAAGTCGTTCTTGCTTTTCACCATTCCACTAGTTTGCGGGGGGGGGGTAGGTGGTAGAGGGGGGACCTAAAAGCAATTGGCGTCACGTGACAACTTGATTTGTTTGGCTCTGTCAGGTGCGGAAGGGTGCATGGCTTTAATTGACATGATGCCTCCATGCTCTAACGCAAAAGAAACCAATTATGCATCATGAATTACTTGATATTTGAACGTATAAATCGAGGCAGACCCTGGCCTATGAGTGGATCCAATTAACCTGCGGGTCATAGCTTTTGGAAGTCCAAATGCAAAATTTTTGGTTTTCACATTTAGTTATGATTAAAGACTCGAATATGTCCGTCCAAATTTCATCTTTAAATACTTTCCATAACACCATTACAGTGTACACCAGGCACGGTGGTATATATGTTTCATATCATTAAACATTTGCTCATCCTTCTCATCTCATGACGGGTTCTTATTTGCCAAAAGCCCTCACGGGTCACTGATTAAGAACCTCAGCCTGGATTCGTCACATCTTGAGAAGCTCAGCAGGTTGGGAGACTGGTTTGCTTCTGCGATGGGTGACAGAGGAGAGAATGGCTTTTCTCTTCGGCGACGACTCTGTGAACTCAATCTGGTGCCTGGTAATCCCTCACACACCTCCGAGCTGATGAAAGCCATTCCTTTCTACACACCCGCAATGAAATATTAAACCGTACGTACAGCGTCGTCTTTAATCTGAACGTGTGAAACGCGGAGGAAAGTGCACGGGTGAATTTTTAAAATGCCTCAAACTTTATTACTTTTTAAAGGTCAGAGACAACATCCTGGGCTGGTCTATTTCAGAAAACAACAAAACATACCATCTCTTAATTCTGTCCACAGGTGCCAAAGCTTTGTTTTCCTCCCCTCTCTGATATCCATTCGTCTCACTCCACAGCACAAGCCCGGGCCATAACTGGCGGACGGAGAGAGAGAGAGACAGAAAAAAACTGGAATTCACAACCCAATCTTGGTGTGTGTCTGCCTCGTTGCTCAGGCTCTCCGCGGGGAGCACTCGATGTATCATTACTACGACTATTATAATGATTGTAATTCCTCTGCTCAGGGGGGTGGTGGTGGTGGTGGTGGAGGAGGTCATCGACTTTGACCTTGGCCAGATACGCGGCGATACCGAGGGGGAGTCGATTGGGGGGGGGGGGTGGAGAAAAAACCGGGCCCCCGCGTTTAAATTCGCGTTCGCGAAGCGGAGAGACGCTACGGTAGCAGAGTGGGTAACGGATGTTTACGGAGTGCCACCGCCACCACCATCACCGGGCTGTGTTTTTTTTGCATTGAGCCCGCAGGTTCGGTTGGTTCGCCACCTGTCCCGATTTTCCCAGGATCACAATCAAGGTTTTTGGGGTTAGATGGCGTCAGTATAAATGTGTCGTGACCCTCCACCACCCGACACAGCCAGTAAGGTTTGTCACAGTAAAGAACGCGCCAATTAGTTACTACTTCAGCCCACCGGTGTGTTGGAGAGTCAATCCACAACATTTACAATTTGAGTAGCACGACGTTTCGCTGGTAATTACATCCAGCCTCATCAGGCGATTTGCCAGATTAGTGAAGCCATCCACCTGCTTCCAGTCATTAATACTTACGCGATCTAGCCCACAAACCTTTATTATGAATAATATTGTAAAGCCTACGTGTTAAATTTCCCAGGATCGTTCTCACTTTTCGAGGGGTTAGACGTTCCTGGGGAAATTATTTTTGCAATTCTCTCCACGGCGCTAAAAGTCCTGTTTCTTGACCAGTGTGCAATAATAATAATAACACACCACTCAAGACAATTCATGTACGTGTCGTCCACGCCTGCGGTAATGTGAGGTCCTCTTCTTCCTCGCGTGCTCTGCCCCAGTTTGTTTGCACCTCAGAGGTGGAAACACTTGCCCCCATTCAATAACCCCCCTACCCCCATTCAATACCCCCCTACCCCCATTCAATACCCCCCCTACCCCCATTCAATACCCCCCTACCCCCATTCAATACCCATCACCCCCATTCAATACCCCCCTACCCCCATTCAATACCCCCTACCCCCATTCAATACCCCCCCTACCCCCATTCAATACCCCCTACCCCCATTCAATACCCATCACCCCCATTCAATACCCCCCCTACCCCCATTCAATACCCCCCTACCCCCATTTAATACCCCCCCTACCCCCATTCAATACCCCCCTACCCCCATTCAATACCCATCACCTCCATTCAATACCCCCCTACCCCCATTCAATACCCCCTACCCCCATTCAATACCCCCTACCCCCATTCAATACCCATCACCCCCATTCAATACCCCCCCTACCCCCATTCAATACCCCCCTACCCCCATTCAATACCCCCCTACCCCCATTCAATACCCCCACCCCCATTCAATACCCCCCTACCCCCATTCAATACCCCTGACACCCATTCAATACCCCCTACTCCCATTCAATACCCTATATCCCCATTCAATACCCCCTACCGCCATTCAATAACCCCCACCCCCATTCAATACCCCCTACCCCCATTCAATACCCCCCCTACCCCCATTCAATACCCCCCTACCCCCATTGAATACCCCCTACCCCCATTCAATACCCCCCCTACCCCCATTCAATACCCCCATTCAATACCCCCTACCCCATTCAATACCCCCCTACCCCCATTCAATACCCCCCCTACCCCCATTCAATACCCCCCTACCCCCATTCAATACCCCCTACCCCCATTCAATACCCCCCCTACCCCCATTCAATACCCCCCTACCCCCATTCAATACCCCCCTACCCCCATTCAATACCCCCTACCCCCATTCAATAACCCCCCTACCCCCATTCAATACCCCCTACCCCCATTCAATACCCATCACCCCCATTCAATACCCCCCCTACCCCCATTCAATACCCCCCTACCCCCATTCAATACCCCCACCCCCATTCAATACCCCCCTACCCCCATTCAATACCCCTGACACCCATTCAATACCCCCTACTCCCATTCAATACCCTATACCCCCATTCAATACCCCCTACCGCCATTCAATAACCCCCACCCCCATTCAATACCCCCTACCCCCATTCAATACCCCCCTACCCCCATTCAATACCCCCTCCTCTTTATGGCCCAGCTTTTAAAACAAAACAAACACAATATGCGTGTTTGTTATTTTCACACCTGTTTCAAGTATTGCATTGTGCACGTAAGTTGAATATAAACATCCATCTACCCAGTGGCTTCACGGGATGGTGTCACCAGTGTGGTATTTCATGGTGTCACCCCTCATGGACCTCCACCCGTACCACACCAGACAGAACCCTTAGCAATGTTTTTTGTACTAACGTTACTCGCAAATCGTAATTCCCGTATATCACTGAACGTAATAGCAATAGTAGTGACGTAAACAACAAGCAAATTTAAAATTACACCTTTAATTGACAATATTTTCTTTAATTACTACTTCATTCTCAAAAAAAGTTTTTGATACAGGTTCACAAATACTCATTACCACAACATTGTCGCTAAAACAGCAGAAAATTTGACAAAATCAGCGACTTTAAAAACACGAGCAGCGACGAACACAACAGCGCGTGCTTGTGACGCGTGCAGACGAGACCACGTGACTCGAAGCGTCACTGCAGTTGGGTAACAATGACAGCTCTGAGCGGAGCGCATTAGAAAGTTCAAAAAGTAAATTAGCATCGAGTTTTAATCCTTGTAGGTATATCGATACAGTACATGTAAGCTGGGCTTACTAAAAAATGTTTTTGTTATAACTAACTACAGGGATATTTTTTTTATAAAAATAATAATACATTCCTGCTGAAACATTTCTACTGAAACACTGCACAAAAATTGTATAGACAGTAATTTTGGTGTCACCCCCTCTGATGGTGTCACCCCGTGCGGTCCGCACCCCCCCCCACACCCCCCTAGTAGTAACGCCTCTGCATCTACCTAATAATGATTCTGGCTAAACATCCGTTTGCCCCAAACACACACTGCAGCGTTCAATGGTGAGATCTTTACCCAAGCTTATGTGTGCCGAATTAGCATGGCGTGCACCAACAAAACCCTTCCCGCACGCCTGCGCACCAACATCGCGGTTCGAAACGTTTTACAAATGTCTCAAAATACGAAATGAGAGAGCTCCCCTCAGTAGAAACGACGAAGTATTTTTGTTGATATTTCATCATATATATAAATCTGCCACCAATTTCCCAGGGGATTGTGGGAAATTACTTTTCCGAGGACGGCACCAGGTTAGCTGAACTGGCCGAGTGGCACTCACTCTGAAGCACGCGGCGAAATTAAAAAAAGTCTGGTGCAAGACCGCCAAACTGAGCGCGGCGAAAATCCCATAAGCTGGGAGATCCATGAATGCCCAAGCGACAAATCTTTTACTCGAGCAGACGGGCAATGTTCTCCCCGCAAAGTCTCCACGTCACCCAGGAGTGTAGCGGGCAGCGGTGGGCGGTAAGCGACACTAGCGGGGCTTCATTTCCCCGCAGAAGGTGAGTTGGTTGGGGGGGGAGGTCACGCTTCCACGAGGTCGGGGGGCGGGGGGATGAGGTCACGGAGGTTGAGGCGCGCCACCAGGCACGCGTCGTAGTCGTTGTGCATGAGGACGTCGCGCGCCACCACCGTCCAGCAGCCGCCATCCCAGGGGTCAAACTCCAGGATGTCCTTCTGGATGACCTCGTGTCGGTCTGCGGCGGAAAGTCATTGCGATGCATCGCGGGTGTCATCGCAGCCGTTGCCGCGGTCGTCGTTGGCGTCATTGTCACCTGGGTCGTTGTTTTAGCTCGACGAAGTGGCTTATTGTCATAATTGTCATTGTTATATCATCATTATTAATCATTATGATTGTCATTATCATATCATATCATCATCATCAATCATGATAATTGCCATTGTCATCATCATTATCAATCATTATGATTGTCATTATCATATCATCATCATCAATCATGATAATTGCCATTGTCATCATCATTATCAATCATTATGATTGTCATCATCATTATCAATCATTATGATTGTGATTGTCATCATCACAATCAATCATTATGATTGTCATCATCATCATAATTATCAATCATGATAATTGCCATTGTCATCATCATTAACAATCATTATGATTGTGATTGTCATCATCACAATCAATCATTATGATTGCCATTGTCATCATCATTATCAATCATTATGATTGTCATTATCATATCATCATCATCAATCATGATAATTGCCATTGTCATCATCATTTTCAATCATTATGATTGTCATCATCATTATCAATCATTATGATTGTGATTGTCATCATCACAATCAATCATTATGATTGGCATCATCATCATTATCAATCATGATAATTGCCATTGTCATCATCATTAACAATCATTATGATTGTGATTGTCATCATCACAATCAATCATTATGATTGCCATCATCATCATCATTATCAATCATGATAATTGCCATTGTCATCATCATTAACAATCATTATGATTGTGATTGTCATCATCACAATCAATCATTATGAATGCCATTGTCATCATTATCAATCATTGTGATTGTGATTGTCATCATCACAATCAATCATGATAATTGCCATTGTCATCATCATTATAAATCATTATGATTGTGATTGTCATCATCACAATCAATCATTATGATTGCCATTGCCATCATCATTATCAATCATTGTGATTGTCATCATCATTATCAATCATTGTGATTGTCATCATCATTATCAATCATTGTGATTGTCATCATCATTATCAATCATTGTGATTGTCATCATCATTATCAATAATTATGATTGTCATCAATCATTATGATTTCCATTATCATCATCATTATCATGATGATTGCCATTGTCATCACACGACATTTATAATATCCTCCCTGTGCCACGATGCTGCTCGTGCATGGGACGGTGTTGCTTGCGTCTTGCATTTCAAATCTGTTCCCTCCCGGTCCATTTAAAATATAAATTTGCAATTTAAATCACGGACCATGCAAATGTAAGTGCTTTTAAAAATTGGCCTGTCATTATAAATCCATATATTATTGACATTTCAAAATGTATTTAACCTTTATTGAGTTTTCCCTTCATCGATTAAGCTGTTTAGGGTTTTATGTTTTAGCTGCAATGTTGCCATTATTAGAACGTCATCTTTTTTTCCACGTGTTATGTATATTTGTACGACTCTGTTCTCACGTTCATGATGAGCCAGATCTCTCTTGTAAACAAAAAAACAACAGACTCATCCTGAATCGGGCTCTAGCACATTTCACAAATAAAGACCCGGTATCGAAATGCAACGACCATCCTCACGTCCTTGACCTCTCTCTCGAGAGCCGACAGCCGATTGATGCTGACGGTCGTTTGCACCGAGCGAGAACCAAGTTAGAAACGAGCGCACCACAAAAGCGGATCACAAAATGTGGTGGTGGCGGGAGGGGGTGGAGGAATTGCAATGCCAAACGAGCCACGCACAGGATGCCGTTAAATTATTAAATACACGGGGGCGCCGCGGTGGTTGAGATGTTAACTCCCTCGCCTGGTACAGAGGATGTTTGTGCGTTCGATGACGCCCGCTGTATATGTTTCTTGAGTTTGCTGTGTCTCTCTCCCCGTGGTCCCGTGGATTTTTCTCCGGGGTCCTCCGTTTATTTTTTTCCCCCTTCTCGTTTCGAATCAACGTCAAGCGCTTCGAGCATGTGGCCGTGCCCTTGATGTCCACACGACGATAAGCCACTACGTTGGGCTATCATTTGTGGTCGGGTGGCTTCTGAAAAAAAAGAGCTATATAGCTCAATGGGTTTAACTGGTAAAATAAAATAAATAAAATAGTTTCGTTTTAAGTTCAGAAACAAGCGCGGCACGGAACTGGATATAAAAATGGGGAAATCGCATCGCAGTGCCGAACGAGGCACACGTGGGGAATTAGTAGCACGAGTAGTGCCGCTAAATAATTAAATACGCAGAGGAGTGGTGGCAACGGGGGTTTGAGCGCTACGCTATTAACCCAATGACCTGAGTTTGATTCCCGGCCACGGCTAACATCAGTGGTGAGTCACATCTGAACCGATCCTGGGCTCCCCCCCAACCCCACCTACCCACCCACACACCCACACACCCACACCACCACCCCCACCCACCACCCACACCACCACCCACACCACCCCCACCACCCACCACCCACACCACCACCACCCACCACCCACACCACCCACAACCACCCATAACCACACACCACCACACACCCACACACTCACCGACCCACACACCCGCCACCCACCACCCCCACCAGCACCCACACCACCCCCACCACCCACACCACCACCACCCACCACCCACAACCACCCACCACCCACACACCCACCGACTCAGAAACCCGCCAACCACCACCCCCACCCACCACCCACCACCTGCCCACCCACCACCACTCCACTTTCTCACTTCACCAACCGGCACGAACCAACGTGGTGAAGTGTGGTCAAGTAACACCCAGGCCAGCGTGCAGCCGGTGGATTGACAACAGGGCTGTGCACGTGTGTGGGTAAGGCGAAACACAACTTGGCAGAGACACTCAAGTGGAGGCAGCTGCCACAAGGCGAGAGGCGAGCTCGCACTGCGCTGGAACGGGCAAGGAAGCAGACTCGATGATTGCCTGGGCCAACCTGTTCAAGTGTTCACCAGACCTGCCGTGCATTCTTAGCTCGAGGAATTGGGAGGCATCCCCCATAAAAATGCATTGGGTGCCACTGTGGCGAGATGTTAACTTCCTCGCCTGGTGTACAGGAGGTCGTGGGTTCGATCCCTAACCCCAACCCCAACCCTGACGCCTGTTGTATATTTGGAGTTTGCAGTGTTCTCTCCCCGTGGTCGTGTGGATTTTTCTCTGGGTCCTCCGGTTTTTCCTCTCCACATTTAGAAACATGCGTTGAGAGTATTCAGCTGCTATACATTTCCACGTGATGAGCCACTTCGTTGAGCGGTCATTTGTGGCTGAAAATGAGCTACACAGCTTAGTGGACCTTAGCTGGTGAAATAAAAAAAAAAGTTTAGTTTTATGTTCTTGGTTCTTTCGGTAAAGTCACGTAGAAGGGAAATAATAAAATAATAAAAATAAAACATAATAAAATAATACAAATAAAACATAATAAAATAAAAATAAAACATAATAAAATTCTCACGACGTTTCGGCCACAACGCAAGCAGTCGTCCTCAGGTGAAGACAGAGCTGTCGGAAAGACAGCGTCCGAATGTTTAGTTTTAGTTTAAACACGCTGGAGAACTTGGGTCTCCATTATGGGTTTCCACATTCTATATATATAGATTTTTATGTTCACTGCTTTTGTCAATTTGATGACACAGCTCACTCTTGCAAACCACTCTGCCCGCCCTGGTCTCTCTTAAGTTCTCACCGGGTTCAACACAATTTACTTAAAAATTGTCCTGAGAAATCTGTACGTCTTACTGGGACATCAAAAGCCCCGTTTTTTTGTCAGTCGCATAACAACACACCGCTCAAGACAATCCATTTGCCCATGGTTCTCCCATATTCCGGTATTGTGAGAAATTCATTTCCTACCCCAAGATTGTTCCAACATTTTCTGGTCAACTCCGGTGACAACCGCAAGCCCTCCGTGGCAGCTGTGCCTTGCTCCGGACGACCGTCAATGAAGCCACCGAGCCCCGGGGCTCATTGTCATGACCTGGATACTATCTTCAAGTTCCACGCAGCCCTTTTGTGCCTGGTGATTTAAAGTCGTGTTTTAGCAGGGGGATGAGTGAGAGCAATCGATCACGCGCCGCCGCCGCTGTCGCCGCAGAAGTAAACACTTTGTGCGCTGACCTTTGAGTTTGGGCGTCCCGATTAAACAAAGGGAAAAAAGAGCTTAATTATATTTTTGATTAACCGGCAGACCTAATTATCTTGACTTCACCGAACTGTTAGAAGCAGCGATTGCCTTAGCGGCGGGATCATCAGCGGGCGCGGATGCCCTTGACTTTCCTGCGAGTACCAACATCCCCATACACAAACCACACCACATCGTTAAGCGCGAGCCGGACGAGATTTTTGCTCCTACGTCAGCAGCTCTCCTGCCGTGTTTGTCTCACCTGACGACGGTTGCTTGTGTTGCGATCGAAACGTCGTGATCTATTAATTTTCTATCTTGCGTGGCTTTACCGAAAGAACCAAAGAGTATGGATTCCCGCAGTCACGAAGGCTTCACATCGAGATATTTAGCTGTTTGTGCATTAGTGGCGTTATTTAAGACTGCGAGGTGGTGAACCGGACCCCTGGGGAACGACCCCGACGGGGGAGCCCCAGCCCCCCCTCTATGGCTATCGGCTCGCACCGGGGGAGTTGAATCCACCGCACACGAAGACGCGTCCGTTGACGGCCACGGCGTTGGAGGCGTTGCTGCGCAGCGAGAGGAGCGGGGAGGGCAGCGAGGGTCCGTCCCTCCAGAAGTCTCCGTCGGGGCTGTAGATCTCGAGCGAGTCGAGGCAGCGCCGCGTCTGGCCACGGTCCGGTCCCTTGCAGCCGATGCCGCCTGCGTGCAGAGCAAAACCCCCGATTAGAGAGAGACTCTCAAGTTCAAGTTAGTTTATTAGGTATAGCCCTGTGAGCCATTCGGCTCTTGAATCGGGTGCAACCGCAACAAACAGAAAACACAAACATGAACAAGAAAACATCTTAAAGTGACTATGTGCAAACAGAAAATCCAAAAAAAGACAGCAACATATTGCAGAAAAAGCACCGTACACCAACGCTGTGTGCAAAAATCCCAGTGGGATGCAAGTCAAACAACAACAACCACAAGACAACTTAGATTAAGGCCATCAGTCTAACTCTGTACTACAACAAACAAACATGGCCAAACAGAAAAACTTTTCGAAAATCACCAAAATAAAGCCATAAAAGCAATTAAACAGTGATCATAGGAACTCTCGTTTAGACTTGAGGGGGAGGGGGGGTGGGTATGGGGGGGGGGCCATGCCACACAAGACAAAGATCCCCCCCCCCCCGTGTAGTCTTAACAGACTTTTGCGGCAAGTGCAATTAGCGAGCAGCAGTACCTATGAAGGCCAGCACGGCACTTTGAAGAAGTGGTTTTGATTGTCTATGATGGACAGCTGTGATAAAAAAAAATGTCTAGCCCATCGGATTCCTCCAGTATCAATATATATTCTGATTCTGGGTGGCCAGCACCACGCCCGACTGCCCTTGTCTCCCTCGTGGCAATGTTTACCGCACCACACCAGGTACTCATATTCTTAGGTTTTTTTGGTAAAGTCAAGTAGGTAAAATATTAAAATTAATAAAAGTAAAATAAAACAAATTAAAAAATTCACGACGTTTCGGAAGCAACACAAGCCTCCGTCGTCAGGTGGAACCGTCACAGCCACGACAGCTGTATCAAGTAATGAATCTCTGCAGTCAGGAAAGCTTTAAATCGAAATTTGACTCGGTTAATGTATCATTTACTTGATACAGCTGTCGTGGCTGTGACGGTTCCACCTGAAGACGGGGGCTTGTGTTGATTCCGAAACGTCGTGAATTTTTTAATTTGTTTTATTTTACTTTAATTAATTAAAAATTTTTACCTACGTGACTTTACCGAAAAGACCTAAGAGTATCAGTTAATATTCTTGGTTCTTTCGGTAAAGTCATATACGTAGAAGGGAAATATTTCCCTTCTACGTATATGAATCCCTGCAGCCACGAAAGCTTTAAATCGAAATTTAACTCGGTTAATGTCGATTAGCCGAGGTAGAAGGTGTACATGTGTAGCCCCTTTAGCAATCCACTGCTGGATAAGGGCCTGCGAACACATTTCCCGTCTATATAGCAAATGAAAAACTACGATACTTTACTATGCAAGTTAAAAATTAGTGTTTTCATATTTACTTTTTTTAATTTAGTGCCCCTTTATAACATAATATGCTGCAGGCCCCGCACTCGCTTAGTCCGGCACTGCCTCACCTCCGCGGAGTGTGGGCATTTGGACGAATGTGCGGTCCACCGGTGCAGCATAACACAGCGGTCCTCATATTCTTGGATCTTTCGGTAAAGTCACGTAGAAGGGAAATAATAAAATAAAAAAAATTCTAACATAATACAAATTCCCACGACGATTTCGGCCACAATACAAGCAGCCGTCCTCAGGTGTTTTATTTTTATCTGTTTTATTTTTATCTATCCGGGTCACCAACCTGGACAATATCAGTTTAAAGCTTTCGTGACTGCAGGGATTCATATTCTTGGTTCCTTCCCTTCTACGTGACTTTACCGAAAGATCCAAGAATATGAATCCCTGCAGTCACGAAAGCTTTAAATCGAAATTTACAGCGGTCCTCATGCAGCAGTCTAACGGTGTCGCTGTCGTCCGTGAAGTGAGCCGCACACAGACGCCCCATCACAAGTTGCACTTCGATTCAGCAGCTCCCTTCCCGTTCGCACTGTGGCGGTGGTGACACCACCCCGAGTTTCGATTTAAAGCTTTCGTGACTGCAGGGATTCATCTTCTTGGTTCTTTCGGTAAAGTCACGTAGAAGGGAAATTATAAAATAATAAAAATAATAATAAAAATAAAACGAAATTAAATAATTCTCACGTTTCGGCCACGGCTGCTTGCGTTGTGGTCGAAACGTCGTGAGAATTATTTAATTTTGTTTTATTTTTATTTTTTATTACTTCCCTTCTACGTGACTTTACCGAAAGAACCAAGAAGACCACCCCGAGTCTCTAATCTGTTGATGCCACCGTCCGCCGAGGAGCTATTCCGGAAATGAATCGAGGCACCGTCCGATCAATTCGCAGGGCACGAGGAGTCACATGTTGCCTCTGGAACACGGAGCAGCCGACCGTGGTCGTGGCTGGGTGCTGCCAAGCGGCGACAGACTGTGACCCCACGTGTTCAGCCGGCTCGTGGGAACGTCTTCCGACCGCCTACGACATCACGAGAACTGATTTTGACTCCACCACCACCACCATCATCACCATCACCACCACCATCACCACCATCATTACCACCACCATAATCACCACCACCACCCCGCAACATTTTCTGACCCGAGTGGGGGGGGGGGGGTGCGAATCGCGGAAAAACAAATAATTGTCGCGATATTTGTTGTTATATTACACCGCGCTACCACCGGTCTGCCGCCGTAATGTTCGCTTAGAAGCGCTGGGTGTACGCGCCGTGCGAACACCAAACACAAACCCTTTGTGTTGTGCCGGTATAAAAGCCCCTAATTGACGTGTTTACGTGTTGCCGTGATTTATGAGCCAGGGGTTGTGAGATGAGGCGGTTCGTGGGTGGTGGAATGCTTTTAATCTTCATGGGGTACCCCACACCATCCCCCCCCACACACCACCCCACATCACCCCCCCACACCACCCCCCCCCGCTCTCCCCCCACACCACCCCCTCACACCACCCCCTCCACACACCCCCCCCCCACACCACCACCCCCACACCACCCCCCACGCCACCTCCCCCACACCCCCACCCCACACCACCCCCACACTCCCCCCCCCACACCACCCCCTCACACCACCCCCCGCACACCAACCCCCCTACACTACCCCCCTACACCACCCCCCCACACTACCCCCCCACACCAACCCCTCTACACCCCCCCCACACCAACCCCCCTCACACCACCCTCCCAACACCACCACCCCCACATCCCCCCCCCACACCACCCCCTCTCTTGCAGCTCTCGGAGAGTTGAGGGGGGGGGAGGTGTAAATTGGGGGGGGGGGTGGGGGGGGTGGGGAGAGGGGGGGGCGTACTAAGCTTCATTGCTGCGTTTTCATGTTTTTTTTTTTTACAAACGCCACTCACTCATCAAACGCCCGTTTGTCAGAAAATCGGGCACACAAGCTGCGCTGATGACGAGCTGCGGCAGGGCTGTTAACCCGTGGTGCCGGCAAATGCCGCCACCGATTCAGCGCCAAGGTCTCGTTCGCCGTGACCTCTGCGTGCGATGGTCGGTGGTGGTGTGGGTCATGAGTGCGCAGGCGGTGAAACTGCACCAGATCACAGTGGGCCCAGGCTACAAAGAGTATGGGGGGGAGGGGGGGGGGGCAGGGAGGCCCTGCAATATTCGACCAAGTCCGTTCAGTGCTCGCCGAGAAGCAATGGCTTCCGTTTGCCGAACAAATACATTCGAAAGTCGCACTCATCACGCACAAAGTGCTTGCCACAAGTGAACCACAATACCCTCGCTGATTTCGTCAAGGAGCATAAGCCATCACCACGCGACACTCCGGTTGTCATGCTCGCAGCGGCGGCTTTTGGGTGACCGTCGGACAAAGACGGCGGTCACTGCATCGCGCGGCGCTTTCAGGTGCGCTTCTATGGCCGTCTGGAACGCTCTTCCCTCCGATATTAGATTGAAAACCCACTTCTTTAGAACTGCTTTCAGCATTCAGTTTGCTGTCCTTGCCCTGCACCTCCGATCAGCACGGTCGGCTACGTACGGCGCGAAAGAAGTTCAAAACGCATTTCGTTGCTCGCCGACCACGCTGCCCCATGCGGCGGTGTCACAACAGCGGCTCAGCGGTAGCGCTGCAAGGGGCCACCGGGGAGGTGGTGGGTGTCTGCGGCAACGTCTTGTGTGTGGCGCAGCGTCACGGCGAAGCGAGTGCAGCGACAAACGCGGAGACGCGGCTCAACCGCCAGTGTCCTTCACGCGAAGGCATCGAACGGTGAGTGATGTCTGAACCCATCCCTCTCCCCCCACCCCCTCAACGACCCACGCTGGCCAGCAAGGTGAAATGTGGCGAAAGAACCACAGTGCCGTGCGGAGGCGTTCGACCAGCAGTGGATTGAGCTGTGCACGATGACATGTGGGCCGCTGGTTTGCCGAGTGACGGAGTGCTCCATCTGCTGCCGTAGCGAAATTATCATGGATGAGTCGCCTACTTAAAAGGGTGGGGGGGGGGGGGAGTTATGTTTCATTTTTACCGGCCACTGCTTGTGAGAATTCGTTGCGCATTGAATTCCAGGTCTGCTACCACGTTTGAACGATCACGTAGCTTCGACCGATCGATGAAATATTACATGAGCCACAACCACTGGTCGAATGTTAACGCAGATGCAGGGTTAACGACGGCGCGGCGCTCCAATCACGCGGCACGCACACACGCGCACACACACGCGCACACACACACGCACACACACACACGCACACACACGCACGCACACGCACACACACGCACGCACACGCACACACACACGCGCACGCACACACGCACGCACACACGCGCACACACACGCACACACACGCGCACGCACGCACACACGCGCACTCACACACACGCACTCACACACACACGCACACACGCGCACTCACACACGCACACACACACGCACACACGCACACAAACACGAAAGCACACGCATGCACACGCACACGAACACACACGCACAAACACACACGCACACACAAACACGCCCGCAGGCTCCTGCAATCAAAGCGCTCCTCTTGTTTGACTTTGTATCGCGCAGCGAAACGCGTGGAGTCGTTGCGCCGACAGAAATAGAGCGCGCGGCGGTTAATGAATTCAGTCGTGCACCCCTCCCCCGACTCGGATGCCGCTCTCGCGCTTTGAAAGAGGGGGGGGGGGGTTCCTACGGAGTTCTAACGGCAGCAACCATCACCTCGAGTTAACGACAACCCGGCAGAAGCGTCAAGCGCCGTATTCTTAGGTTTTTTTCGGTAAAGTCACGTAGGTAAAAAAAATAACATTAATAAAAGTAAAATAAAAATCATGACGTTTTGGAGGCAACACAAGCTTCCGTCTTCAGGTGGAACCGTCACAGCACGATAGCTGTATCAAGTGAGAGTAAAAACCTAGGAATATGAATCATTGCAGTCACGAAAGCTTCAAATCTAGAATCTTCAAGCGCCGGTCTGCGCCTGATCGCCTGCAACCGCGAACCAACTTGTCGTTGACGACACGCCTGCCGATGAGCTTCGTTGGCAATTTTCGTGCGACCGGGCACGACTTGCAAGGAAAGTTTGGAACAGAGTAGACGAATCCGAGTTCGTGCAGGTGCACGTATGGCACGCATCCGCGTGGCAGTATAATCGTGGTGCGGGCCCGAAAAACGCGGTTTCACGACAACGGTGCGGTTCATTCGAAATGCGTTTTTGCAAGTGTTTGTTGTTCTTCACGTGTGTCGTTTTCGCGTGTCGCTTGAAACTTACGGCACCTTGGGGGTCAACCGTGGACAGCCGAAATGTCAATCGCACCCAAAAACCTGCCCCGATAATCACCCCGCATAGGCGAATGACGTCTTACTAAACTGATTTTTTTCCAGCTTTAGCTGAACACCCTTGAATAACTTTTTTTTTTAAACACACACAAATTAACAAAACGACCCAAGAGCTCATCGCGAACGAACTCGCGGCTGTTTGCCGAGTGGGTCGCTTCGCAGGATTCCCCATGCTGCGTCCGCCGTTGCGTGCGAGCTTACCGCACCGTTTGTGTGCGGTTTAGCTCCCTTTCGCCCTGGCAAATGTCCCGCGTGCACCGCGCGCTGAAACGTGCGCGCGAGCACAACGTACACGCGCGCACGCCCGCCCGCCGAGCTTACACCGCATGCCGCGCAAATTATTTCCGGCTGCGCATCGCCGCCGCGGAACGGAGGCTCCGAGTCACCCCCATTCATCAGTGTCCAACTGTCAGGGGGAAAAGCGGCACGCCAATGCATCATATCGGAATTTCACTCTCAGAAGTTGGCTATTTAGCAAAAAAAAATGCAAATGATTTTCCGGTCGGTTTAGCAGCGATTTTCCCACTGTTATATCCAGCGGTGTTGGGAGGTGCATTTAATTGCGCCGTTGAAGCTTAGGCTTGGAGGAGGGGGGGGGGGGGGGAGGGGGATGGCATAAGCGGAGTCTTCCTTTGATGGGAATTTAAACACTAGGAGAGGCGATACGAGACTGGAATTGCAGGACGAACGCCACTGGGGTATTAGGGACACCCAAGGGCTGGGCATCCCAAGCGTTTGAAACCATGGGATGGTCATATAAACCGATCAGGACTCGGCAGATGAAATGTTAAATTAATTGTGGCCTGGTGGCTCAGGGAGGTCAAGATCTATTGGGCCGAAACCACTGAGATCCTGGGCTCGAATGCGAGTTTCATCCGCCCGAGAATCAACCGTATTCTGAAATGTGATTGTATGTATATCATTTAAAGGGGCTTTTTTCAATGCCACATCGTTTCGCAGAGATATACTGCACATGTAAAATAAATGTAACTAATCAGCCGCAAGATGCAACCGCGTTCGAATCCAGGCTGCCTGCCACCTGCGATTAACTTAATTATGTGAGCGTAGCAAGTTCATGGTCTCAGCCACGGTGAACAATGTCCAACAACGATCACATTTTTACTTGGGGTTTTCACCTAATTCGACAAAACAGTGCTGCACGGGGAATCTTTGTGCATGCGTACGTGCGTGTGCAATACTGCACACGCACTGCGGGGAGCGGTGGTGCAACGGTTAGCGCGTCGCACGACGAACCCGGCGACGTGGGTTAGATTCCCCGCTCACGGCCAACCACCACTGACGATATTCCGAAACGGCCCTGGGCCTCCCCTCGGTCGACTCAGCCTAAAGTGAGTACCCCCAGTGCGGTGCGTAAAAATCACCGCTGGGGGAGACAAAGGTGGCCGGGCACGCTGTTGACCGCACGCTGCGGCGGTCTTCATTGGGCACAAGCTCGCTAAGGGCACTTGCCCCCACAGCCCGTGACAAGGTCACACGGGGCAGGAGGAGGAGAGGAGGGAGGGGGGGGGGGTGACCTTCGCCTTCGCCGGCGCGGCACTTACCCACGACGTAGATTTCGCCGTTGAGGGCGGCGCAGCCGAAGCGGTAGCGTGAGAAGCGCATTGACGCCAGCTCCTGCCAGCGGTCGCGCTCCGAGTCGTAGCGGAAGGCGCGGTTGCTCAGCCGCTCCAGCTCCTCGTCCGGGCGCTCCAGCTGCGGGAGAGAGATTCAAACAAACGCCACCACCCCCACCACCCCCCCCCCCCCCCCCCATGGGTCCCACCGTGTGGCAGAGGGCGCGAACGGGCTTTGATTCCTTACCCGTACCCGGCCGCACCAGGGTCGCAAATGGGTACCCGTACCCGGCCGGGTACGGGTACCCGTTCCCTACCCGTACCCATACCCTACCCGAAATGAGTGACAAACGGTTACTCACCAGTGACTCACGGCCTACCCGTACCCGTACCCGGCCGCACCAGGGTCGCAAACGGCTACCCGTACCCGTACCCGGCCGGGTATCGGGTAGGGTACGGGTATCGGGTACCCGGTTGCGACCTCTGCCGTGTGGTGTCTGGGCGTCGCCGACTCTCTGGGTGGCGACAAACGAGGGGCGTGGGGGTGGGGGTCGGGGGCACGACCCTGTTGACCTCCTTGGTGGAAATTCCACGTTGACACTGCCAGAGCGGGCATCCTCGTGTGTCACTCAGCCCACCCCTGAGTTAACGCTCGGCCACAATGTGAACTCGCAAACTTCCGCGAAAAAAAATGTTTCACGGACAACTCTGCGTACCTAATTAGGGGGTGGGTTTTTTTCAAATTCTCTCTCTCACACGAGAAATAATGAATTTCGGTGGAGTTAATGACGCTCGACGGAATCGCATTTCGGCACATTATCTCCTCTGCGTTAAAAGTCTGTGTCACCACCACAATAATGGCATTAATTAATCCTCCCGATATTTCCCGGAGATGATCTGTTAGTGCACACCACTCCGGTGTCTTTGTGTCTTCATTCCCCCCTTGTCCCTACAACCCCGCGTACCTGTGCCTCCAAGCCCTTGCTTGACCTCACCATCATTTTAAGGAATAATCCAGTAATATTATTATTTATCGAGGAAAACTCTTTCTGAAACTCGTGAATTTCATCGTCACGGCCTTGCTTGAGAATGTTTGGCCCAACCCCTGAAAGCCTCAGAGGGGGGGGGGTGGTTCGTGGGGTCCCGTATAAATGAGTGAATTGACACCGATGTTGCTGTTATACCTGCGGTATCCATCCTCCCATCACGTAGATGTAACTGCCGACCGTCAGGGCCACGTGTGAGGCCAACATGACAGGCAGCGGAGAAACACTGCGCCACTGCTGCGTCATCCCTCCTCCTCCTCCGTCACCTCCTCCCGACGAAGGGAGGGGCAGCCTTTCTGCTGCGTTGGTGACGAGGTAGCGCTGCTTCTCCTGCACCTGGCCGCCCAGCAGGTAGAGGTGGCCACGTGCCGCCGCCAGCGCGTACAGCTCGCGGTACGGCGCCGAGCACACGTGCTCCCAGCTCGACGCACGGTACCTGTCGCAGCCACGGGCACGCGCGGCCGTCGTGTCTCGCAGCTGCTCGGTGTGGACCCGTCACGAGTCCCTCCATCCGTGCTCAATCGTCTCCCCCGCCGAACTCATCCCTCGCTTCCTGTCCACCCAATAGCAACAGCCGCCACCCGCCACTAGGTGATGGTGATGTCCCCGCGGCGCCTGTGCCAGGCCAGGTGCACTTTGAGGCGACGTGAAGTGTCGAAGGCTCAGCTGACAAGAGGTCATGGGACAGAACCAGGTGGTGCCGTGGGTTGACTGACTGAGATGACTGGCAGATGCACCAGCTGTGCCCCCTACTGCCCACCCACCCACCCTCCATCACCACACAACCCCACACCACCACCACCGTCCCAGCCCACTCGTCCAAACCCTCACCTCACGAACTCGACCCCGGCGGGAGGCGCTCCCCTCCCGCGGCGCGCAGCCTTGGTGAAGCCGGCCTCCCCGGCGAGGATGATGTCGTTGTCGGCCGTGACGACGCCGGCCCGCACGGCGGCCAGTGCCTCCCCCTGACGCGGGCAGACCACGTAGCACGTGCGGCGCAGCGCCGGCGCGTAGCAGAAGCACGCGTCGGCGTAGCCCGGGCGTCGCGAGCGCACGCCGCGCGCGTCGGTGCCCGCGCACACGATCACGTCCGATGTCTCCATGCCGTAGCGGAGGCCGGCGCCGGGGGTCACCACGGCGAGGGAGGCTCGGCTCGAGTCGACCGACTCCAGCGCCACGGCCAGCATGTGGCTGCAAGCGGCGTCGCTCACGAGCACCGTGCTCCTCTGGGCACACGTCCCAAAGAGAGTTCCATTTGCGACAAGGGCCGAGTGCAACTAACAAAATAATACATCAAGTAGGAACTAAACATCGTGGGGGGTGGGGGAATAATTATGCACGAAAGTGTTGAAAATTCGTCGCACTTACGGTATTTGTCTGTAAAACACCGTAACACACGCGTGCTCGTGACGATGAGGAGCTGAGCTTTCAGGGGGTATTTCGTGAGCGCGGGTTTGTCGCATGTAGGCACACTTTATTAGGCTCCGTCTGGTAGCCCAGCAGCAGGGGTGGTTTAACAAGACCTGACTTTTGCTGACGAGACACACAAGAGTTTTAAACCAGTTCAGAGATTGCCTGCTTGTTTAAACAAATGCTGCTGCTGCTGATGGACAGCACGTATCCGCCGAACGCCGCTCGACGCATCCCCACCAAAGTTGGCCTCGTGCCTCCCGATGAGCCACTTTAATAAGATTCATCTCAGCAACCAGCTTCACTTACCCGGTCTGTAGATCTCTCATTGATAAGCAATAATAATTATAATTCACATTTGTAAGACGCAGAGTCTGCAGGGTAGACGGACAGAACTCGGGCATAGAGGCCAGTTTACAGCAACGACTGCCCGCACCTTGCCGTAGTGCATCATGGCCTGAATGTGTCACAATCGTCTGGCATGCCAGTGCCAATTGTCGTGTCTGCACGGATGTACGGTCGTTGAAACATCGGCCGCAATGGCACTTCCATGGTCATCATCGTCGTTATCATCGTCTTAATCGTCATCATCATCGTCATCATCATCGTCATTATCGTCTTAATCGTCATCATCATCGTCTTCATCATCGTCGTTATCATCGTCATTATCATCGTCGTCAGCATCGTCGTCATAAGCATCGTCATTATCATTGTCTTAATCGTCATCATCATCGTCTTCATCATCGTCGTTATCATCGTCATTATCATCGTCGTCATAAGCATCGTCATTATCATTGTCTTAATCGTCATCATCATCGTCTTCCTCATCGTCATCATCATCGTCGTCATCATCGTCTTCATCATCGTCGTCGTCATCATCGTTATCATCGTCATCATCATCGTCTTCATCATCGTCATCATCATCATCGTCATCATCGTCGTCGTCATCATCGTCATCATCGTCATCATCATCATCATCGGCGTCATCATCATCATCGGCGTCATCATCATCATCATCGTCGTCATCATCATCGTCGTCATCATCGTCATCATCATCATCGTCATCATCATCGTCAACATCATCATCATCATCATCGTCTTCATCATCGTCAACATCATCATCATCATCATCGACGTCACCCGGGGACGACGTCATCATCGTCGTCACCTTGAGGCTCTCGCTGAGGCAGTCCGCGCTGACGAGTGTGAGCCGCACGCGCGCGAGCAGCCCCGCCAGGTGCGGGGCGCGCGCCCGGCGGTCCCAGCGCGCCCAGCGCAGCACCACGTCCAGCACGGGGTCCTCGCGGGTCACGTTCAGCTCGTCCGACGAGATCAGCGCCTCCAGCTGATCGGCGCTGACCTGCGGGCAACACGGGGACAGGGGCCGTCCATAAATGACGTCACGCACCTAGAGGGGGGGGGGGTCAGACATTTGTGACGATGTGTGACGAGGGGGGGGGGGGGGTTTGAGAAATGTGACGTCACGTCGAAATGCGCTGCTTTAAATGAATATAGACAACACGTTCTACTTGTTCTTGGTTCTTTCGGTAAAGTCACGTAGAATGGAAATATTAAAATAATACAAATAAAACATAATAAAATAATTCTCACGACGTTTCGTTCAGACTCTGTCTCCTCGACAGACCTGTTCTCCACCTGAGGACGGCTACTTGCGTTGTGGCCGAAACGTCGTGAGAATTATTTTATAATGTTTTATTTTTATTATTTTATTATTTCCCTTCTACGTGACTTTACCGAAAGAATCAAGAAGATGAATCCCTGCAGTCACGAAAGCTTTAAATCGAAACGTTCTACTTGATTAAATAGACTTTTTAATAAATGTTTTCTCCTACAACATCAGAGTGCAGCGCCACATTAAATACGCACTACAATGACAATAGTTTAAAGCGATTTGAAGCATGTTTTATTTTTTAGGGGAGGGGTGGGCAGAGCTTTGTGACAGTCATATTGAAGGGGGGGGGTCTGACTTTTTGTGACGCCGTGTGACGAGGAGGGGGGAGGGGGGTCGAAAATCGTCCAAAATCGCGTGACGTCATTTATGGACGGACCCCAAAGAGGGGGAGAGTCGCTGAGCAATGTGAATTGAAGCGAGGAGGACGACCTAAGAGGCCCATATGTAGACATGGGTCTGCCCCCCCCCCCCCCACCTTATCTCACTCCTCCTCCCTACTCGCTCCCCTTTGCTGGAACCAACTCCCACTGAAGCACGCGAAAGCGGTCGTCTTCGGTGACCCGCACAGAGGCAACGAGCGGCGAAACGTCACCGTGCTCGCGTGGTCACGAACCTGGCGCGTTGTGTTCACGTGACTCAACCTCACTGATCGGCCGCGTCGGGTGGTGGTGGCGGCTTTGACGACACATTCATATTCGCCGGGCCAAAATGTGTCCACGCCTGGGACGCGACGCGTCCAGTGCGCATCTCGCCATGGCTGAGGCTGCTCTCCCCCCCCCCTCCGCACCTGCGATTAGTCCGGTTGGCTACGTACGGTGCGAAAGAAGTTCAACACACACACGTGCGTGCGTGCGCGCGCCACCTATTCCAGTTCATATTTGCGCGATCTGACCCATCAAATGGGAGGAGGTGGAACCAACGGCACGCACGCGCGCACGCACAAACACATGCGAACGCACACGCACGCACGGACGCACGCACGCGCTCGCACGCGCGCACGCGCAAACACGTGCGCACGCACAAACACGTGGGCACGCGCGCGCTCGCTCGCGTACCTCGAGGATCTCGTCGTGCAGGCAGACCTCGGCGAAGTGTCGGCGCAGGAAGTCGTGCGCCGCGTCCGCCAGCTGCTCGGCCCCGATCTGGCGCGCGAACGCGTGCAGGCCCACGCAGTTGGACGCCTCCATGTTGTCGAGCATGTGGCGGGAGCAGGCGGCGAAGACGCCGTCCATCTGCAGCAGGAACGCGCCTGTCGCCACGCCCTGCGCTCCCACACAACCACCCCATCCCCCCCCGGTACGAACGCACGTATCGCAAGAGTGCGCGCGTGTGCCTGTGTGGGTCGAACGTGCCGGCCTTCATAGGTGCTGCTCGCTAACAGCACTTGCCTCCAACGGCTACACGGGGGATCTTTGTCTTTGTTGAACTTGGAGAGCGGTAGGCGCGCTGCGCTCCGAACTCATCCGCCCGAGTTCGATTCATGCTCACGGCCAACGCCCAGTGACGATTATCTGGACCGGTCCTGGGCCTCTCCCTAGGTTGACTCAGTCACAAATGAGTACCTGGTGCGGTGTGCAAACATCGACAGTGGGAGAGACAAAGGCGGCCGGGCGTGGTGCTGGCCACCTAGCCCCTCTTGTGCCATGCAGAACTTGTGTCCCCAGGTCTGTCTCCCTTACAAAGCTCTCCCTACTCTGAAGGAACTCTATTTAGGCTTCAAAATAAATACGTTTTACGTGGTATGCCACTTGATGTATCACGGGGCATTGTTTGTCCGCTGTGTATGGTGTTGAACTTCTTTCGCACCGTACGTAACCAACCGTGCTCATCGGAGGTGCAGGGGAAGGACAACTAAACACACAAAGCAGTTTCGAAAGAAACGAGTTTTTGATCGAGATATACAAGTGCATAGCTCCAGTGGAATCCTAATTTCGGAAGGAAGAGCGTTCCAGACGGCCACAGAAGCGCGTGTGACAGCGCGCGATGCTGCGACCGAATTTGTTCGATGGTCATCCAAAAGCTGCCGCTGCTGCCGCTGCTGCTGCGAGGATGACAACCGGAGTTCGCGTGATGGCTTATGCTGCTTGACGAGATCAGAGAGTCATTGTGGTTCATTTGTGCCCCCCACCCTCCCGTGACGAAATGTCCCATCCGAGTTTCAACGTCAGGCCACGACTGTTTCAGCCTCCCGATGAACTGAACATCTGTGATAAAAAGAAATCATAATAGCTTGATTTTAAGCTTTCGTGACTGCAGGAATCCATACTCTTTGGTTCTGTCGGTAAAGTCACGTGAAGACGGCTGCTTGCGTTGTAGCCGAAACGTCGTGAGAATTATTTTATTGTGTTTTATTTTTATTATTTTATTACTTCCCTTCTACGTGACTTTACTGAAAGAACCAAGAAGATGAATCCCTGCAGTCACGAAAGCTTTAAATCGAAATAGAAAAAAGTAGTAGATCACGACGTTTCGATCGCAACAACAAGCGACCGTCTTCTACCTACGCGACTTTACCGACAGAACCAAAGCGTATTCATAATAGCTCATGGGATTCCACCGGCCTGAATAACGATTCTAATTCCGAACGACAAATCGGGAGAAGGCTTCGCCGAGACTCTCATCGCTCGCTCACGGCTCGCCGGCGTTTTAGAAGACTCGGGGCCGGATTCTCCTGGGATGTGGCATGGCTGGGGCAAAGCTTTAATCCGAGTGGATTGGCATCAAAATGAATCGTGGTTGCGACCAGGGCATGTACAGCACCTTTCGCCAATCTGCTGCTGGGTTGAGGGCCTCCCTCCGAACCGTGCGGGTCGTCGGGGTGTTATTGTTCGACCGTACTTCACCGCGCTGTCAGTGCGGGTCGGACAGCACCGACGCCGTTTTTCCACTGCAAGAGCCGAGCCGGGCCGACCCGCATACGACGACGACGACGCCACGCGGAACGAACGTCGCTAGAGACGGCGCACCGACCGCCGACCGGTGTCACACGCGGTCGAACGCCTCTCTTGCCACCCTGCCCCCTGGCCCTGCTTGGCCCCACAGACGGCTCGGTACCGGCTCGGCACGGCAAACGGCCAGTGGGGGGGTGGTGGTGGGGGGGGGGCAAGGCGCGTGCTACTCGCCTGCACGTTGGCGTTGCAGAGGCGCAGACGCGCCGTGTACATGTAGTCGAGCAGCACGGCGAGGCTGTCGGGCGCCAGGTCGTGGAGCCGCACCTCGCGGCGCTCGCATTCTGCCAGTCCGCAGGTGAACATGGCGCGGAAGTAGGGGCTGAAGGCGGCCAGCACGGCGCGGTGGCACGGGAAGGAGGCTGCCCCCGCCAGCAGATCCACGTCGGTGAGCTCGCGCGTGTCCCTCAGCCGCGAAAGCTGCTCGAGCAGGAACTGGCTGTGCTTGGAGCGGCATCCGTCGCTCGCCTCCGGCCGCGGCGCCTCCGGCAAGGGCTCGCGATGCAGCCCCGACTGGGCCATGGCAAAACCTTGGAGTTGATGGCGAGAAGGAAGCACTGCGCTCCGGCTGGTTGGGGTGGGGACGCGGGGTCGGGTGGTGGAGGGTTTAACGACGCATTTATATTTGCGTGATCTAACCCGAAGAAAAAACACTTATTAAGTACTACTTTGTCCGATGTCAACAGCGGTTTTGCTATGGGTAGACTCACGCCTGCCACAGTAATGTGGAATTTTCACCGTGGGCTCGCGTCGCTTTGCTCATTTGAGAATGGATCACCACGCAGATGTTACGGAACTCCCTTCACGTTGGGCATCGACGTGCCAGGAATCGATGTAACAGCAGCAAATGTGGACTTCTCTCTATCTGGGATAGAGTGTTACCCCCTCGCACACGTGCGGGTTTCTCCGGGTGCTCCGGTTTCCTCTCACATGCATATAAACTCACTCTTAATCGACTAATACATTTTTTTTAATGTGAACATAAAAACAAACGATGCAGGACTCCCCTGAAAAAGAGTGCTTGGACTCGGTGTGGCTTCCTGGGTAAATACAAAATTTCATGTAGTAGTAGAATTATTATTAAACTGCTTTCAAACAATTTGAAGCTTTCGTGACTGCAGGGATTCATCGGCTTGGTTCTTTCGGCAAAGTCACGTAGAATGGAAATAATAAAATAATAAAATAAAACATTATAAAATAATAAAATAAAACATAATAAAATAATTCTCTCGCGTTGTGGCCGAAAAGTCGTGAGAATTATTTTATTATGTTTTATTTTATTATTTTATTATTTCCATTCGACGTGACTTTACCGAAAGAACCAAGAAGATGCTTTCAAACAATTTTGGAAACGCATGTGACTCTCACGCGGCCAGAGCAGTTGAATGTGGCCACTTGGCAGAGCTTGAAGTTCTCCGTGTAGGAGAGTAGAGGGGAGGGGTGAGTAGGTGACTGGACGGCTATACTCGGGTTGGGTAATGCGATACGCCACAGCCAATGCTAAAAATAGATTCTACAGGCACTGGGGCAGCTTGCTGTAACATTCAACCATCACGAGATCATCCAGAGACAGCTAGCCTTCATGTAGGCCACACACACACACAGCAACTTCAACTTTTAAAAAAAGCAACGCATTACAAAACGGCGATCGAATTACATCGATGAACATAATCATCTGTTCGTTACCCCACCTGGTAAGGAAAGTAGGCACGCAAATGAAAAATCATGAACACTCTTCTGTCTGTGACTCCGTACACACGGCGTGGCAGGGATTGTTTTTTATTCAGAACAACGCCGGTTACGATTTTGCTGGCTCGGAAATGGTTCGGAACGCTCTAACTCAAAACACTTTTAAAACATTGAAATCAGTATAAGAATCATCATCATCCACCGCGTGAAAGTTGCTCAAGGGCACAATGACAACAGCCCGTAAACAACTGTGATCCGACAAGCAGCGTGGCAGCGTGTAACATTCAGGCAAGCAGCAATGCACAAAAACAAAGATCCCCCGGTGTAGCCTTGACAGACTTTCGGGGCAAGTGCTGTGAGCGAGCAGCACCTATGAAGGCCGGAACGGCATGCGAAGGGGGGTGGGTGGCCAGCACCACGCCCGGCCGCCTTTGTCTCTCCCCCCTACCCCCCGTGGCGCACAGAATACACATCACCACAACCACCACCGCCGTCAGTACGAATCTCCCGACTTCCGTACCTTGAGGACAGGATAACAGTCTAGATTTGAAGCTTTCGTGACTGCAGGAATCCATTCTCATTGGTTCTTTGGGTAAAGTCACGTCGTTTTTTTCTTGCGTAGATTTTTTTTCCCGATGACGATTGCTTGTGTTGCGGTCGAACCGTCGTGGTTTATTTTATTTTATTTCTACCCGCGTGACTTTCCCGAAAGAACCAAAAGAGGACAGAATAACAACATCGACACTGTGGATCATGAAGCGGCGCATGGCACGGCTGCACCCACCCAGGGCCTCTTACCTCCCCCGTCTCTCCGGGCCGCAGCGGTGTTGCTGCCTCCGTTCGTCGGACGTTTTCGTTCTCGCGCGAGGAAATTTAAAAAAAAACAACCGGGCACACACACACACGCAGACCACCCACCCCACACCACCCCCCGGGTGTCAGATCAGCGAGGTTGGCATGAGGCTCACTACAGGGCGCGTGGCATCTGCTTTCGCGTTTGCATTGCTGTTGCGTTGACCAACACCGGGTACACAGTGAGATTCGCCCCGTGTAAGTCTTTACAGAATGCTGGGGTAAGTGCCGTCACCTATGAAGGCCGGCACGGCACACGAGGGGGTTGGGTGGCCAACACCACGCCCGGCCGCCTTTGTCTCCCTAGTGGCGATGTTTACACACGGCACTAGGTGCTCATGTTAGGCTGAGTAGACCTAGGGGAGGCCCACGACCGGTTTAGACGATCTGCCGCACCCCACACTCACCTTCCCAATGGCATCGACCTATAAGTCGTATAATTTTTTTTATATTTTAATTGGGGTCTCATCATCATGCACCTGGTTATTGAGCTGATAATTAAGCAGCGCCTCTCAGGCTAGACTGGCCAGATTATCGGATCAAAGGTCAAATGTTGTCATGAATGTAACCCCATTCGCCAATAAACTACACGCATATCGTGCATTCGTTGCAATCGGCGTAGCGGTCTCTAGACAGGTCTACAGAACATCACGCGAAATACGACAACTACTTCTGTGCATAGCAAACCTCCTGCAACATCGCGGATAGCTGCTGCTAATGCATTGTGGGGAAAACCATCAGCATACATTGTAACGGCACGGTGCCCTCTAATACAACATACCAGCGGATATACAGCGTCGCATACATCACACGTGCAGTATAACGCCAGCCCTACCCAGCCACTCAGCCAGCCCCTGAAAACAATCACTATAGATCCTAAGTCAGTGGCGGATAAACTCAAATATCTAACCTATATATTTTGTTTATTTTATCAGGAAAAGCCCACTTGTTTTCAGAAACGACTTGGAAGCAAATGATAGCCCAATGAAAGAAGCAAATACTCTAAATGCATATTTCTAAATGTGGAGGGGAGAACCAGATGATCCGGAGAAAAATGCACGTAGGGATCGAGAGACACGCAAACTCCATATATACTGCAGGCATCGTCAGCGTCGGGATCGAACCCACGACCACCTGTATGCCGGGCGAGGTAGTTAACATCTCCTAGCCACCGTGATGATGATGAGAGAGAGAGACACGCAAACTCCAAATATACAGCAGGGATCGTCAGCGTCGGGATCGAACCCACGACCACCTGTATGCCAGGCGAGGTAGTTAACATCTCCTAGCCACCGTGATGATGATAAGAGAGAGAGAGACACGCAAACTCCCAATATACAGCAGGTAGTGTCAGAGTGGAGTTAGAACCCACGACCTCCTGTACACCAGGCGAGGTAGTTAACATCTCCTAGCCACCGTGATGATGATGAAGATAGAGACACGCAAACTCCAAATATACAGCAGGCATCGTCAGTGTCGGGATCAAACCCAGGCGAGGTAGTTAACATCTGGATCGCGCGGATACACCAGGAGTACGGATGGTGGGAGCAATCGCTACCCATTGAGACCACGAAAATTGGTACGTTAAAAATACGTGAATTTGTTTTTTAGTGATAATGTAAAGGACCTAATTTAAAAGGCTTGACAATTCTGGACCGTCCTTGGGACGTTTCAAGATCCACCTCTGCTCTGGATGGTTGCCATAGTTTTAAGGATGTAGCATCGATTCATAAATTAAAGTCGATTCTTTCACTCACCATGCATGCGTCCAATAGAGCTTCAAACCCCGCTTAGATGCGGGGTTTGAATGCTGCAGGTTTCAGCCATCCATGATTATATTGTGTGAGCAGGTGTCGGGAATTTACGGTCTCAGCTTGGTTAACGATGAATGCACACAACACTAAATACTTTTTATAGGGTTGTTTTCACTTTATTTGGCAAATGATGGCCCCTGAAAAATAATTGTATTGTTTTTATTGACTTTCAAAAGTGATAATATTGTTTGATCTTACTCTTCATGCGGAATAAGAAGGACTCTTCTAAAGTGGGGATAAAGTGACCAGACCTTAAAAGTAGCTACGTGACGTCGTCATCCAGAACTGTTCTCTGACACGAGGTGGTTCCAAATGTCCGATGACGGGACACCAATAACACAATTGAAATATATATATATGGATGAGTAACAGAAAAAGCTCAGTTTAACACGTAGACTTTCGCGACCAATATTATATTATTCATAATAAACGTTTTTGGGTTTAGATCGCGTTATTTATAAATGTGTCGTTACCCTCCACCACCCGACACGGCCAATCAGCAAAAAAAGTGTCATCGTTGACAAAAGACAAAATAGTTCACTACTTTAGCCCACCGGTGTGTTGAAGCGTGAAACCACAACATTTACAATTTACAATCAAGGCCACCCGTCATTGTATTTAACATGAGGCTTATAGCAATGGAGATAACTTTAGGTTGAGGCTGCCATGTGAGTAAACTTAATCACCATCCAGACTGACATTTGTAGGGGCTCGCATCTTTTCTCAGATTTGTGTTATTTTTTTATTATTCGCGCATACAGTACTTAATAATATTTGCGCCAACATTTAACGCTTTCTGGCCCTCATTACACTGGTCAATACACTTTTTCTGCATAAAGTATTCCAACGGTTTTAAGGTAATTTTGGGGTGCTGATTCCAAATCTGGCATCAGTTTTGTCTATCACATCAGGTTTTTGAGATATCAAATATTGCATTTTCAATAAAAACTGCATAAGAAAAATATTAAATAAATGTGGATATCTACATAAAATTATATTATAAACACACTATCCTAAAAATACAGCACCATATTTTAACACTAAAGCAGTCACTGACTCGCAACAACTTGCAATCATAAGTGACAGAGTTAATTTCGGGTAAAATCAATGAAAATGGGGTATGCCGATAGCATAAAATGAGATGTGATAGAGCAAATCTGAGATCAGATTTGGAATCGGCACCCTGAAATTAGTCTAAAACAGTTGCAAAAGTCCAGGCCAGAAAAAAGTGATTTTTTTTGTTGACCAGTGTTATTGAACATTAGTCTTAAATTTTTAGTATTTGTCTGCTATGAATTCCCACACGATAAACCACTTCGTTGAGCTATCATTTGTGGGCAGGTAGCTTCTAAAAATAAGAGCTATATAGCTCAGTGGGGCCCTACCAGGTAAAATAAAAATAAAAATGCAGTTAATTTAACATCGCCCAGTCAGTCACGACCATCTGTTACTAGATCACCCTGATACACACAGAACTCGTGCCGCCACGATATGTTACACCGGATATGAAAACTCAATGTTCAAAAGCAAGCATTTCAGTGCGGAATGTCGCCCCGGTTGTAAGTAACGGGGTAGAGGAGGAGTAGGGGGGGGGGAATGTGATTGAGATTGATTCTGCAGATTGGTGTCATAACGTGGATATTAAAAAATGGTGTTGCTTTGTAAATGCGCGCTCGGGAGCGAGGGACAATGTCACTGACCCCCTTCCCACAGCAGCATTCCCCTCCAGGGGAACAAAACCCTCTTCCCCACCTCCCCGCCCCCCTTTGTAGAATTCCTATCCCTCCTTGATTTCACTATTTTTATTAACTCGTGCTAATATTTCCAATTCCTCCCCCCCCCCCCCCCCCAAAACCTGGAGGCATTGTAGCTCCGGCAGAAGGGAGAGAGAGAGAGAGTGGAGAGGCGGGAGGAGGAGGACAGGGAGAGTCAGGAGGAGAGAGAGAGAAGCGGGGGAGCGGTTTAAGTGTCGCGCTCCAAGTGTATTGTCAAACAGAAGCCTGCGTTCAGAGAGCCGGGAGCGCACCAGAGAGAGAGGAGAGAGTGGGGAGAGAGAGGAGAGAGTGGGGAGAGAGAGGAGAGAGAGGAGAGAGACGCCAAGGGCGATCTCGGGACGCTGCCTTCGTGCCGGAGAGAGTGTCTGCGTGTGTGTCCGTGTGTTGGACTTCTTTCGCACCGTACGTAGCCAAGCGTGTTAGGGAGATGATGTCTCCGGGCGAGGCTTGGGAGAACGTACCGGAGCCGTTCATCACCAATGGGGACGGACTGCGACTCCACTGCCACTACTGGGAGCCCGACCTGGGACAAGGGGGCGAACTTAGGTGAGTGGCTAAGTCGCCTCCATCCGTACATTGTCTCATTTCCTTCGTGGATATCGATCAAGAGGTATCGATACCGTGGTGGGGGTGGGTCTTATCTAGCGAGTTTGAGTCTCAGCTGGTGCGGTTGACCCGGCCCATCATTACCATCATCATCACCATCATCATCAGCATCATCATCACCATCATTACCATCATTACCATCATCACCATCAGCATCATCATCACCATCATTACCATCATTATCATCATCACCATCATCATCACCATCATCACCATCATCATCATCACCACCATCATCACCATCACCATCATCACCATCATCATCACCATCATCATCACCATCATCACCATCATCATCATTACCATCACCACCATCATCACCATCATCATCATCACCATCCTTATCATCATCACCATCATCACCATCATCATCACCATCATCACCATCATCATCACCATAATTACCATCATCACCGTCATCACATCATCATCACCATCCTCATCATCATCACCATCATCACCATCATCACCATCATCATCACCATCATCATCACCATCATCATCACCATTATCACCATCATCACCATCATCACCATCATCATCACCATCATCACCATCATCAAAATCACCATCATCACCACCATCATCACCATCATCATCACCATCATCACCATCATCACCATCATCATCACCATCACCATCATCACCATCATCACCATCATCATCATCACCATCATCATCACCATCATCACCACCATCACCATCATCACCATCATCATCACCATCATCACCATCACCATCATCACCATCATCACCACCATCATCACCATCATCATCACCATCATCACCATCATCATCACCATCATCACCATCATCACCATCATCATCACCATCATCATCACCATCATCATCACCATCATCACCATCATCATCACCATCATCATCACCATCATCATCACCATCATCACCATCATCACCATCATCATCATCACCATCGCTCTGCTGGAGAGGCGAGTGTGATCGCTCATTGGATCGGTGCGCCATTGCCATAGGGATGTGGAATCTTTCACTCCCGCTTCTGTAGCTGTGAATGGGAAGAGCGGCGCTTAAACAAAAGCTCCTCTTAGATTCGTTTGTGTTCTATGACCAGAGTATTATAAATGGCAAAGATATCGTTACCGTTGTGTGTGTTGCAGTGAGTGGTTTGGTTGCCTTCATTTTCTCCCCGTGTTAAACTCCAGTGAAATCTAAAAATGCTCCAAATATAATTTTTTACATTTTTTTACACGTATTTGGTGTGAAATCAGGCCCTCCGTTGGTACGAGATCTGGCCTCACTCGAATCTCACCTGGTCATGAAGACAATATCACCCGTCTAACTACCTCCAAACGAGAACTCTGGTCAACATACTGCACTCACAGTGATGAGAACTATTTACCCAACACAGCCTCGCCGAGCCTGTTAAAGTCTATACAGAAGTGGGGGGGGGGGGGGGGGGTTGCCTGTGGCGCACGAGGTGTGGAGCTCTGCACGAGGCGTGGAGCTCTGCACGATGTGTGGAGCTCTGCACAATGCGTGGAGCTTTGCACGATGTGTGGAGCTCTGCACGAGGTGTGGAGCTCTGCACTGTGAGGCTCTGCACGATGCGTGGAGCTCTGCACGATGTGTGGAGCTCTGCACGATGTGTGGAGCTCTGCACGATGTGTGAGACTCTGCACGATGTGTGGTGCTCTGCACGATGTGTGGAGCTCTGCACTGTGAGGCTCTGTACGATGTGTGGAGCTCTGCACAATGCGTGGAGCTCTGCACTGTGAGGCTCTGCACGATGTGTGATGTTTCGCACGGAGCGTGAGGCTCTGCGCGTTGTTTGCCTCTCGGCGGTAACGCGAAGCGGAGTTGACGTGGGGGGGTGGGGGGGGGGCAGATGAATGTGAACCACAGCTCCCCACCACGTGAATGTCACGGGTGAACGCATTGTCTCACCCTCTGCGATGAGAATGTAGAGGAAGTGAGGCGTGCCCCGTGGGACGTTAGCGATTTGTTTAGGCTCACAGCAAGACGCAGCGACTGGGTGGGCGGGTGTGGGAGCAATGGGGCATTGTGTATATGGCGTGTGCGATACGGTTAAGGTTCGATTATCTAGGGTGCAGGTTAACCGCGCTCGCGAAAATGAAAGATGAAAAACATTCGAAGTTTGTTATTCCATCATCGAGGGATGAGTTTCGGATATTAATTTTTTTTCTTGATTTTGGAAGAATTTTTTTTTTCAAATGACAATTTTATATTTTCCGTTTGTGTTAATGTACGACGTGTCTTTGTGTTAGCATTAGTGACGTTACCTCATGCCACGCGATGCCACATTTGGTGGGAGAAGCAGGGAACTGAGGTAACGCACGGAAAAGTGAGGAAATGCAATTAATGTCATTTACAATTTCGTCATTTATTTGGGATCAATCCAAGACAAACACTTTTTTGTGTTTCGGATCATCCTTAATGTCATATTTCATCCCGATTTTCGGATTTATTTGATCAATCCTTAAATATGGGTTACATCCCTATCCCAGACTCATTCCTGCCTTGTTCCATTATCATCTACCCCTAAACTTGAGGCACGCTGGCGGATTAATTAAGGAGGCGATTCAATGAGTCGACACATCAAACGTCTTCACGCCCGTTCCGATTCGTAGTGTGCATTGGTTTGCTTTGGCTGTTGTTCTTTTGGTTTTCATCCGGGCCGGCCCCTCTGCTGCACCGGTGACCCCCGTATTAGTCGAGAGCCGACGGCAGCAGGGCTCTTTGCTCGTCCACTTTTTAGTTTTTGAACGCCTCAACTCCGCGAGAGGCAACCTGCTCGGTTGAACGATGACGGCGATTTGGGCATTTGTCGGCGTTTGCGCGAAACTTCCAGCGATTTAGAAACGTGACGCTGACCCCTACTCTATGCGTGAAAGCAATCACCCTGCAGACCATGATTTTGGGATACAAATGTGAATATTCATAATCAACGTTTTTGGGTTTAGATCGCGTTATTTATAAATGTGTCGTAACCCTCCACCACCCGACACGGCCAATCAGTAAAAAAGTGTCACGTTGACAAAAGACAAATAGCGCATTGCCCGATGATGCTGGATGCAATTACCAGCGAAACGTCGTACTCAAATTGTAAATGTTGTGGTTTCACGCTTCAACCCACCGGTGGGCTAAAGCAGTGAACTATTTGTCTTTTGTCAACGTGACACTTTTTTACTGAATGGCCGTGTCGGGTGGTGGAGGGTTACGACACATTTACAAATAACGCGATCTAAACCCAAAAACGTTGATTATGAATAATATTCGTCGCGAAAGCCTGCTACGTGTTAAACCAAATGTTAATATGTTACACAACTGAGGTGCTTGCGTCCTAGGGTGGAATTCCTTTCCAACTAAGACCCCGCTTGCTTGCCCATCGCCACATCTATAGCCTCCTTGTTGTAACTGCTCTCTCGCTGGTTCAGCAGTTCCACTGCTGGATTATATTTTTTCCGCCTGAGGACGACCGCTTGTGTTGCGATCGAAACGTCGTGATTTTTTTTATTTTATACCCACGTGACTTTACCGAAAGAACCAAAGAGTATAAATATATTAGTTGTATTTTTCGGATTATAAGCGTAAGACTGGATGGTGTTTATGCCAAACGTCTGCTTTTTTTCCCCCTTCTCAAAAATCACAAGTATTTACATCAATCTTTATTGTCTAAATTATTAGATGGCCACGTGACATCATCTGTGTACATCTGCAGATACAACAGAGATGTGACGTTTCGCCCAAGAGTCGCTGATCTGGGCTCACGATTCAATCTAAGAGCTCATTTGTTTGTCCGCAAACATTGCGGTGAATGTCGCAGACACTCGTGGCTGTAAGGAGTCACGCGAACCCGTGACATGCCGTTCAACATATATGAAATCGAACAGCATCGATTCGTACACAAATTGACGTATGTTTCGTGCGATCAAAAATCCATAGTAATGTTTTAATCATGACGCCTCTTAGACAAACGCGGCCAAACATCAATATGCCCCCATGCTCCATCGATCATCGGTTGGTGGCTATCTCCCCAATCAGTTCTGAGCTCGGTGATGGAAATTGGACTTTGGTGTCGTGAGGAACCAGTCCAATAGGTGAGATGATAGAAACTGCCCAAACAAACTCTAGATTTGAAGCTTTCGTGACTGCAAGGATTCATATTCTTGGTTCTTTCGGTGAAGTCACGTAGGTTAAAAATGAAATTAAAATTAATAAAAATAAAATAATAAAAATCACGACGTTTCGGATACTTGGTACACTTGATACAGCAAATCTAGCTGTGACGGTCCCACCTGATGACGGAGACTTGTGTTGCCTCCGAAACGTCGTGATTTTTATTATTTAATTTTTATTAATTTTAATTAAATTTTTTACCTACGTGACTTTACCGACAAAACTAAGAGTATGCTCAAACAAACCCAGAGCAGGACCCGACAAAAATAAGTCAGTGCGGGGTTGAAATAAAACATTTTCAAGAGTGGTCATCCACTATAATGATCGAATAAGTGAAATTAGATAGGCACTTCGAACTGCGTGGTTGACATTTCGTCAACACGTTTCTCATATTCGTAAGGGGTTTGTTGTTGTTATCGTTGATGTTTCAACCAAACAAGATCGATCTTCAACAGCAACATCACAGAAGCATCTGAAACAATCGAAACCTCGAGATGCTGAGGAACCAAATGGGGCGCCGTCCTCAAAATCTCGACAGGACGACGACTGTCGCCCATGTCGTCCTTTTTAGGTGGACGAGACTTGTGCGAGATAGCCTGGGTCCAGTCTTAGTGGTGGGGAGTGGTGGTGCAGTGGTTAGCGCACTGCGCCGTGAACCCCCTTCGCTCCGGGCCAACATTGGTGACTAAAAGCTGAACCGGTCCACGGCCTTCACGAGCTCGACTCAGCCTTAAACGAGTGCCTCTTGTGACGGGCAGACATCG